CTGGGTCTTTTCCTCCTGGTACCCAGTGGAGCCTCCGGCGGCCAGTCTACGGTCTCCGCCAGGCACCTCATGAGTGGCACGACACACTGAGGACTACACTTGCGGCTCTTGGGTTTGCTCCTTCTACTGCCGACCCGTCGCTGTTTCTGCGCACCGACACTTCTTTGCCGCCGTTCTACATCCTCGTGTACGTCGACGACTTGGTCTTTGCCACAGCTGACACTGCTGGACTCGCCCATGTGAAGTCCGAGCTGCAGAAGAGACACACGTGCACAGACCTGGGTGAACTGCGCAGCTACCTTGGCTTGCAGATCACCCGGGACAGAGCACAGCGCACCATTACCCTGACTCAGTCACACATGGTGCAGCAGGTCCTTCAGCGCTTCGGCTTCACGTACTCCTCGCCTCAGGCCACTCCTCTGTCTACTCGCCACTCGCTCTCAGCTCTGCCTTCGGATGAGTCCGTAGAGTCGAGTGGCCCGTACCCAGAGCTTGTTGGCTGCCTCATGTACCTGATGACCTGCACTCGACCTGACCTTGCATACCCTCTTAGCATTCTGGCACGCTATGTTGCTCCTGGGAGACACAGACCAGAGCACATGGCTGCAGCGAAGAGGGTGTTGCGCTACTTGTGCAGTACGTCGGGCATGGGGCTTGTGGTTGGAGGGCGGAGTCCAGTGGTCCTCACTGGTCACGCAGACGCTTCTTGGGCTGACGACCAGGCTACGCAACGGTCGTCACAGGGTTACACCTTCAGCCTTGGTTCCGGCTCTGTTTCGTGGCGGTCTACCCGCTCGTCTTCTGTTCTCGGCTCCAGTTGTGAGGTTGAGATCTACGCAGGGGCCATGGCTGCACAGGAGCTACGCTGGCTCACCTACCTGCTGACTGACCTAGGAGAGCCGCCTCGTTCTCCTCCAGTTCTGTACGTAGACAACAAGGCTATGCTGGCCTTGTGTCGGGAGCACAGACTGGAGCACAGAACGAAGCACATCGCTCTTCGCTACTTCCTTGCTCGTGAGCTGCAGCAGCGAGGTCAGCTGCGCCTTGCTTACGTGGCCTCTGAGGCCAACACTGCTGATGTGTTCACCAAGGCACTTGCGCCTTGTGACCATCAGCGCTTCTGTACTCTGTTAGGTCTTGTACCTACCTTGCCTCACTTGCTCACTTCTTGACCTTGCTTGTACTGTTACATATATATATACCTGCTCTTGCTTGTTTAGCGTTATATATATGTGTGTACTCATGCATGTGAACTGGCCTTGTGGCCTTGAACTTGTGCTCAGAATGTGTGGTGACGTTGTGATCCACCCTGAGCTTGCTTTGCCTTGCTTTGCTTGACTGGTCTTGTGACCCCTTGTTCTCCCCCACTTTGCCTATGGGGGTGTGTCAAACTTATATGATCTAGCCTGTGTAGGCTGTAGCGGGTTAGATACTAAGGGGTACACAATTCTAGGGTTTCATATTTGTATCACTTTCATTCCTTAGTCAATTCATTCTCGTTCTCAATTCGCTCTTGCGATGGCCCGGCCTGTTGCAAGCAAAGCAGTGCCCCTTAAACGGCGCGGCAGCTGCATTCGTTGCAACAGCGTTTACAGTGGCGTGCTCGATCGGTCCCCGAGGACGATGTCCATAGTAGGACCCCGGTCTCGGACGGCGTAAAATGTCGATTTTCTCGGCGAGCGCGAGAATCTCGTTGAAGTTCGAGAGCCCGCGTAACATGATTTCGTGCGAGATGTCCGGCTTCAGCCCTCCGACGTAACGGTCCACCCGCTCCGCTTCGTGCATGTAGCCGACTTGCTCGCATAATGCGAGAAAACCACTCGTATAGTCTTGAACCGATCCAAGCTGCCGCCAAGTGCGCAATCTCTGACGCGCCGAAATAGAAGCCGCGATCGGCTCGAAGCGCGCCCGAAGCCCTGCGCACCACGCATCCCACGTGCTGTATTGGGCGGTCTCGCAGAATGAACTCCAGGTGACAGCTGGGCCCGTGGGCCCTTCCTCTTGCGACGGTGGCTCGTAGGCGCGTGGCGACGTCACGATGACTCGCCACCAGTCCATGGCGGGGCCCCTTAGCAGCGAAACGGCATACCGGATCTTCGCTGCGTCCGACTCGACGTAATTCGCGTCGAAGAAGACGTTCATCGTGAAGACCCACGATTGAACCGTCGGACCTCCACGCTGGCTCGGGTCGAAGCAGGGCGGGCGTTGCGGCTTGAGTGGCATTGGTGCCATAATGGTCTGTTCGCCACTTGTCGCCGCGAACTCCACGTGCTGACGGGCTTCGCGAGGCTCCCGCGGGCTTGGTGCGACCCTGTTTCCTCCCATGCCAGGCATCGGCTGGGCGGCGCCATCGCTGGCTGCGCCTGAGCGCTGTCCCACGCTGTTGTTTTGTGTTGGTGTGCCGGACGAGATGACGATCGGCTCGTCTGATTGTGCAGATGCATTTGTCGGTGCGTATGGTGGCGCTGGAGTGTTCATCGTTAATTGCTGACGCGCGGAGTCACGTTCCGCCGTGAGCGTCGCAATTTCGAGCGCCGAATCTTCAAGTTGGCGCACCAGACGGTCGAGCTGCTCCTGCGTCAATGTGGCGAGCGTGAATTCGGCCATGGCGGGGGTGTCGGGCGAGCTCAGCGAGAGCCTCGGTCGTGGCCGTGCGTGCTTACGAGAGAGCACTACGAGAGGCGGTGCTGTGTCGCTGAGGGACATCTACCCCCCCCCAAAAATTGAGATAGTGGGGAAGCGAAGGTGTGGGTGCGGTCCGAGAGGAGATCGTAGGCTCTGAATACCAAATGTTACGAGTGCAATTGAGTGAACAAACGAGAATTGCACTATCGAAGCAAGAGTACAATGAGCGAAGGCATGAGCGAAGAATATATAGCGAAACTACAGTGGTAACGGTAATGTACTGTGATTGTCGCGCGACGGGCCTGGGACTAAGGTTGGGAAAAAGTGTCGAAGCGGAGGCTCGGAGCGCGGGTTACCCGCCGAGCCGTGAGGTCGGGGTGCGATGTGCGAAGGTGGCGGGCGGATTGTCGATGCGAGGGTTGCGAGTGGTAACGGTGCTGACTGTGGTGCTACAGTGATGTACGCGTTGAGCAGGGATGCGAAGTAAGGAAAAGGAATTTTCCTTACAAATACACTCTTTTTTTGTGACGCGAGATTGCAAAAATGTGTATACGCGACTCGGAAAAAAGGGGATTGAGACACAAGTGTCTCCACAGGAACGGGAGGAGAAACGGAGGTGAGTACGAAGCATGCGATGTGCCACCCATGGGCTTCGAAGCTCCCACCGGGCTGGTAGTCGCAGTGAAAGAGCTACTGCGATAGGACTGGTATGTCATGATACCACTGCAACAACTTTCATTGGGCCGCATTACTGTAAAGAGCCGCTTTTAAAATAGAAAGTGTTCCAGCCTTCTGAGTAGTTTTGACGCATTGCCATTTTTCCATAAGTGGCACAGGCCACCAGACTCACCAAGAAGAGCAAGACTGCCGAATAGTAGTAGAAGCGCGAACTTTTGCGACGCCATGCTGAATGTGCAGTGTCTCCTTGTTCGTCGTTTCGTCGTGCGTCAGGGTCGTGATTGCGCTGAACTTCCAGCGGAGTGCAGCAGAGTCCGCGTGATAAGACAAAAAAGTGATTTGATTGTCAAAGATAATGTAGCTAGCGCTCAATGATGAAGGCTTGCAGATGGTTGGGATACGTAGAGGGCGCGGCGAGGCGGAGAGCAAAGCAGCTGTCCCTAATAGGCAGATATCAGTACAGTTTTGTACTGAATGGGAAGGGGTGGGCTTGGAGAAATGGAGGTGGGGCGAGAAGGACATGTTACGGTGAGTGTGCCTCTGCGAAGAAGGTCGGTGTTTCGCGAAATCGTCGCCAACGCTTTCGCCTTGGTCGTGGTCAAAGTTCGGTTGTTCGTTGCTGCGTTGGATTCCACGCGTTGAGGCAAGGTGTTTTCCATTCGGGGGATGTAAGGCTAACCAATCACAGTGTCCATTGCAGCCACGTCGGGCGCTACCCTTCGGGGAGCGCCACGCTCGTGCCGCAAAAAGCTAGGTCACGTTTTGGGGCCGCGTAGCCATCAGGAGAACGTGATTGGACCGCTTACACGTGTGGCAGTCCTTGCTGTATGACAGCAGGAGAAATCCGAGCACAACTTGACGGTTCAGATGAATTGGCTTCATGACGTGTTCACGGAGCAGAAGCAAGCAAGTACAATCCGGCTCTGAGTGTTTTCCAACTCGAAATTTCGTTTTGAAGAATTTCCTGTTAGGCATAAAGGGAAACAAATCCAGAGACGAGTGATGTGGGAATGGGACCTCAGGAAGGGAGTACTTCTTCAGAAACATCGACCTGGCGAAGTTGCTCGCGAACGAACGCGAGTGTGGTGGGCTTGCGCCAGAAGATGCCAACCACCGACAAAAGAAATACTCTGAACAAGTGAGACAAAAAAGCGGGAGCGTGGGCAGCAGGCATATCTTCGTCAATAGTTTGCCCAGCAACGATAGTAGGTTACGTGCAATGCGTCTACACTAAACCTGCAATTGGCTTATTTAGAACATACCACCAGTCACAAGCATATTCACCCTATTGAACTCGTGGAAGCTGCTATGCAAAAGTTCTTGTTAATACCTACTGCTTGTAGCAGCTAATCGGAAGAACGGGTTCTGATCGCGCAAATGGGTTGTCAACAGGGGCGGAGGCAATTCCTCGTTGGATAAGCAGGCAACGGAACATGTGCATTCTATAATGGGGGGCATCCTTCATGCTATCCACATATGCCTTTGGACTCCACAGTCGCTCTGAAAGCACGCGACAGAGGGGAGAAACGGGGAAGATGGGGAGGTGGAAGGTGGGGTGGGAGGGTGTGGGGTCGGAGAAGAAAAAAGTGATGTGGGGAAAAGCGGGAAAAGGGACAAATGGGGGGTGGTGTGTGAAGGGGGGTTTCTGACAGAGAAAATCGCACACACACCTCCCACACAGCACAGTGAGACAGTTGTCACGGCCCCATCTCACCTGCCATGGCAGCAGCACGCGACCACACTGTTGGCATGGAGTTACACACAAGGCACTTGCGAGAGTTTTCACTTACGAGAATTTTTAATTATGAGAATTCTCAATAGTGACTCAGAAGTAACTAAGAAGTGAGCAACTCTCAGAAGCAGCTCACCTGCCATGGCAGCAGCACGCGGCCACACTGTGGCCATGAGTTGTGAGGGGTCGATCCTCTCACTCCACGCACACACCTCCCCCCCCACCACCACTCTCTCTGCCAACGCCTCCAGCTCCTCCCACCGCCTCCTCTTCTCCTCCTCCCTTCTTGTCTCTCCTTCCTCACCTCCCTCCCCTCCTCCTGTCCACTCCAGGACCCTTCTCCTCACTCCAGTCCCTGCTGACGTGTCCTTTCCCTCCCCCTCATCCCCTCCCAACCCTCGCTCGCCTCGATCCCCCTCCCGTCCGCCCACAGCCATGTGAATGATTTTACCTCTTCCCTGCTCTTCCCCCTGATGCTCCTTCCCTGCTTCTCGTCCCACTGTCTCTCCCCCTCCCTCCTCTCCCTTCTCCTCCCCCTTTTCACCTTCTTCTCCTCCCAGCTTCTGCATGCCCCCCACACTCCCCGCCCCGTCTCCTCCCGTCCCATCCACATCTCCACCCTCTCTTGCATCCTCTCCCCCTCTCGCCCCCACACCTGCCAACTCCTCCACTCTCAATCTCCCTCGCAGACGCTCCAGCAAAACCGCAGTGGGGGTCTCTCCCCCTCCCCCTCCCCCTCCCCCTCCCCCTCCCCCTCCCCCTCCCCCTCCCCCTCCACCTCCCCCTCCCCCTCCCCCTCCCACTCCCTCTCCCCACTTATCAGGCCACAAGCTTCCCAACCCATCCCCACTGTCCCCAACCCCTCCACCTTCCACATCCCCAGCCCCCTCCCTTCCCCCCACATTCCAACCCTCCTCACCTCCCCCCACATGCCCACCCCCCTCCTTTCTGCCTGAATTCCAACCCTCCTCCCCACTCCACCCACCGCCACTCCCACCATCCCCACCACCCCCACCATCCCCACCATCCCCACCATCCCCACTCCACACATCCCCACCATCCTCCTCGCTCTCCATCCTCTCTCGTTCCACCTGCAGCACCAGGTCAGTGGGATCCTCTCTATAAGCATGCTCCCAGCGGGACTGTAGCGAGTCCAGGTACCACCCGCCCCCGGCATTCGTGTGAACGATGCGGAACCCCCACGCTGCCATGTTGGGCAGGCTGTCGGTTTTCAGCCTGGTTTAGGCAAGAGGAAGGGAATAAGGAGGAGAGTTTGGGAAGCAACGAGGAGGCAGGGATGGGGCAAAAGAGAGGCACCACCCGCTACCGGCATTCGTGTGGACGACGCGGAACCCCCACGCTGCCATGTTGGGCAGGCGGTCGGTTTTCAGCCTGGGAGGGGCGGTTGAGGCAGAGTCAGACGGGAGCAAGGAGGGAACGAGGAGGAGGGATGGCGAAGCAAGGGGGAGAAGATGGCAGGGGTGGGGCAGAAGAGAGGTACCACCCGCCTGCAGTCGTGTGAACGATGTGAAACCCTCACGCTGCCATGTTGGACAGGCGGTCGGTTTGCAACCGGATTGGGGTGCCTCCTCAAGAAAGGAAGTGGTGAGGAAAAGAGGAGCTGGGAGCATGTGAGATGAAGGGAGCATACCAGCTTTGCACGATGGTGGTTGTGGGATTGAGGTGCCTCCTGACATTGAAAAATGACTCCTCCCTGCCGCCATGCCAGCATGCCACCATGCCAGCATCCCACCATACCACCATGCCACCATGCCACCATGCCACCATACAGATAGCGAAAAACAGGGGATTGCAGGCATGCAGGCATGCAGAGAGGAGACAGGGGGGGTGTATTCTGAGTTGACTCAGAATTTGCCGAGTGGGAAGCAGGGGAGAGCAAGTGGGCAGCAGTGGAAACAGGAGAGAGTGAAGGTGGAGGGGATGTGCGATAAATGCCTTCGCCAACATCACCACCCATCACCACCGATCACCACCCATCACCACCGATCACCACCCATCACCACCGATCACCACCCATCACCACCGATCACCACTCATCAGCAGCCCAGCACTCACCAGACGATGGTGGTGGTCCATCCGAGCTGGCTTGCAATGGCCTGCACGCGGTTCACAAAGTAGGCTATGGCTGCCTTCACTGTCCTCCTGTGCTCCTTCCTCCTGCACTCCCGGGCAATCAGAGAAAGGCAAGATGGGAATGGTCAAATGAGCGGAGAGAGGAGAGGAGAGGAGAGGAGAGGAGAGGAGAGGAGAGGAGAGGAGAGGAGAGGAGAGGAGAGGAGAGGAGAGACGGGTTTGCTGGATTGGAGAGAAACAGCTTCAATCCTCGCCTTCGTTCTTTCCCTTCCTTTTTTTTACAGCTGAGCGAGAGAGAAACGCAGGAATGTGGGGCTGGGCCATGGGATAGGAATGTGGGGCTGGGCCATGGGATAGGAATGTGGGGCTGGGCCATGGGATAGGAATGTGGGGCTGGGCCATGGGATAGGAATGTGGGGCTGGGCCATGGGATAGGAATGTGGGGTAGGGCTATGGGGCAGGGATATGTGAGAGGGCACTCACCAGTTGTAGATGTGAGGAACAGTTGTCCAACACTCTGCATGATCCGGGTGGCATGGGGAGAGCAGCGGGGGGAGCACGAACAAAGAGTGCAATGGGCAGAGCATGGGGAGTGTATGTGTGAGGGAGAATCGATACAAAGGACCGTTTGAGAATGGAAGAAACAGCGTGGGGGAGATCGGACCCTTTGACCCAACAGTGACATCCATCACAATCGCTTCTGTCACCATCATTTCCTCTCACTTCCCTCACTTCCTCCAGCTTTCCCCACATCCTCTCACCTGCATTCACTTCGTCCCCACCAATGTGGATTGTCGGCCCGGGAAAGACTGACCGCAGGTCTGCACGCCCATTGCATGCAGAAGAACAGTCATATGAGGCACGAGGGATGAGGAATGGGAATGACGCATCACGCATGATGCATGAGGGATGGGGGATGAGGGATGAGGGATGGGGGATGAGGGATGAGGGATGGGGGATGAGGGATGAGGGATGGGGGATGAGGGATGAGGGATGGGGGATGAGGGATGAGGGATGGGGGATGAGGGATGAGGGATGGGGGATGAGGGATGAGGGATGGGGGATGAGGGATGAGGGATGAGACAGCAGGTGAAGTGCGGTCTGCATAATTCAAAAGCTACAGGAGAACCTAGTTAGTATTCGTGCCTTGTTCCACTTCTTTGGTTGATGCATGCAACTAAAAAGGTAGCACATCACCTGCCATCACCGCACATCACCTGCCATCACCGCACATCACCTGCCATCACCGCACATCACCTGCCATCACCGCACATTACCTGTGAGCACACCCTGTATGACTCGGAAGGTGAACTCATTGGAAACGTCGAGAGGCTCGGAACAGTTGAAGGCTGGGAGCAGGGCCGGATAGCCCACTCCCCTGGGTTAAATATAACAAGATGCGGCATGGAATTGAAACACATGGGGCGAACGTATGAGGTGACCACATGAGACGCGAGAAATCGATAGCAACACGGGAGGAGTCAGCGACAGGCGTGTTTTGAGAGCAGCCGTGCAAAGAATTGATGGCTTGTAAGAGCTAGTGCAAGCAGCCCTGCCCTCTGTGGCTTGGATTGGAGCCATGTCAGCTCACCATGCCTTGGAGTGAGATGGCAGGTCGATTTCAGGAATGACAACAATGCCATGTGCTGCTGCATAGCTGAAGGGGAGTGTAGAGGGGTGGAGAGCGGTGGAAAGGGATGGACAGGGTTGGAGATGGAAACCAAGGGGGAAGTTGGATCACCAGAAAACAGAATAAACTTCAGCACAGACGGGCTGTTGAAGTGGAGTCTTTAAAAGGCCGTCGAAGAACCGAAGCCACAGAAATTGGAAAAGACGGCAAATTAGGTGAGCTTCAAAAACATTCCCAATGCCAGTTTTTGAGGCGCCTGAACAACATGGGTCATCCCTCCCAACTCACCCCACCACATGCCCCACCACATCACTCCCCTCACCCCACCACATGCCCCACCACATCACTCCCCTCACCCCACCACATGCCCCACCACATCACTCCCCTCACCCCACCACATGCCCCACCACATCACTCCCCTCAAGCCACCACGTCTCTCAACTCACTGCACCACGTGCCGCATATCTGCAAGCGAATAGTGCTCGTGGGGGGGGAAAGAAGCCTTCCAGACTCTGTTCTGAGACACCTAGCTTCAACAACGTGCCACGTGCCAGTGCTCACCCCACCTCGTGCCAGTGCTCACCCCACCACGTGCCAGTGCTCACCCCACCACGTGCCGCATGTCAGCGAGGGAGAAGCGCTCGTGGGGAGAGTGGGCACCCTTCCAGAGGCGCGGGAAGGAGGGCGTCTCAATGGGGAAGGCCTCTGCGTCCACTAGATGCCAGTGGCTGGGGGGAAGAAGGGAGGGGATGGGGACGGGGAGGGGGACAGAGGGGAGAGAGGGGGAGGAAAGAATGGAGAGGGGAAGGAGGGTGTCTCGATGGGGAAGGCCTCTGCGTCCACTAGATGCCAGTGACTGGGGGGAAGGAGAATGGCGGGATGGGGAAGAAGGGGCGTGAGAAGGGGGATATGTGGGGGGTGGTGCAAGGAGGGCGTCTGGATGGGGAAGGCATCTGCGACCTCCAGACCAGGTGCCAGTGACTGGGGGGAGGGTGAAGAGGGAGGGGGGGAATGGGGCACGCGCGGACCAGGACCCGGACAAAGGCGCGTGCGCGGACCAAGGCGCGCGCGTGGACCAAGGCGAGCGAGCGTGGACCAAGAGACGCGCGCGGACCAAGGCGCGCGCGCGCACGGACCACGGCGCGCGCGCGCGCGGACAGAGGCGCGTGCGCGGACAGAGGCGCGCGCGTGGACAGAGGCGCGCACGCGTGGACCAAGGCGAGCGCGCGTGGACCAAGGCGCGCGAGCGTGGACCAAGGCGCGCGCGCCGACCAGCGCGCGCGCGAGGACCAAGGCGCGCGCGCGGACCAAGGCGCGCGCCCGGACCAAAGCGCGCGCGCGGACCAAGGCGCGCGCGTGGACCAAGGCGCGCGCGCCGCACGCCCGCGTGGACCAAGGCGCGCGCGCGGACCAAGGCGCGCGTGTGCGGACCAAGGCGCGTGCGCGCGGACCAAGGCGGGCGCGCGGACCAAGGCGGGCGCGCGGACCAACGCGCGCGCCCGGACCAAGGCGCGCGCCCGGACCAGCGCGCGCGCCCGGACCAGCGCGCGCGCCTGGACCAACGCGCGCGCCCGGACCAGCGCGCGCGCCCGGACCAGCGCGCGCGCCCGGACCAACGCACGCGCCCGGACCAACGCGCCCCCCGGACCAACGCGCGCCCACGGACCAACGCGCGCCCCCGGACCAACGCACACCCCCGGACCAACGCGTGCTCCTGGAACAACGCGCGCGCCCGGACCAACGCGCGCCCCCGAACCAACGCGCGCCCCCGGACCAACGCGCGCCCCCGGACCAACGCGCGCCCCCGGACCAACGCGCGCGCCCGGACCAACGTGCGCGCCCGGACCAACGCGCGCCCCCGGACCATCGCGCGCGCCCGGACCAACGCGCACCCCCGGACCAACGCGCGCTCCGGGACCAACGCGCAAGCCCGGACCAACGCACGCCCTCGGACCAACGCGCGCGCTCGGACCAACGCGCGCCCCCGGACCAACGCCCGTCCCCGGACCAACGCGCGCCCCCGGACCAACACGCGCGCCAGGACCAACGCGCGCCCCCGGACCAACGCGCGAAACCGGACCAACGCGCGCCCCCAGACCAACGCGCGCCCCCGGACCAACGCGCGCCCCCGGACCAACGCGCCCCCCCGGACCAACGCGCGCCCCCGGACCAACACGCGCGCCCGGACCAACGCGCGCGCCCGGACCAACGCGCGCCCCCGGACCAACGCGCGCTCAGGGACCAACGCGCGCGCCCGGACCAACGCGCGCGCCCGGACCAACGCACGCCCCCGGACCAACGCCCGTCCCCGGACCAACGCCCGTCCCCAGACCAACGCGCGCCCCCGGACCAACGCGCGCCCCCCGACCAACGCGCGCCCCCGGACCAACACGCGCGCCCGGACCAACGCGCGCGCCCGGACCAACGCGCGCCCCCGGACCAACGCGCGCGCCCGGACCAACGCGCACCCCCGGACCAACGCGCGCGCCCGGACCAACGCGCGCGCCCGGACCAACGCGCACCCCCGGACCAACGCGCGCGCCCGGACCAACGCGCGCGCCCGGACCAACGCGCGCCCCCGGACCAACGCGCGCCCCCGGACCAACGCGCCCCCCCGGACCAACGCGCGCGCGCGCGGACCAAGGCGCGCGCGCGCGGTCCAAGGCGCGCGCACGTGGACCAAGGCGCGCGCGCGGTCCAAGGCGCGCACGCGCGGACCAAGGCGCCCGCGCGTGGACCAAGGCGCGCGCGTGGACCTAGGCGCGCGCGTGGACCATGGCGCGCACGCGGACCAAGGCGCGCGTGTGGACCAAGGCGCGCGCGCGTGGACCAAGGCGCGCGCGTGGACCTAGGCGCGCGCGCGTGGACCAAGGCGCGCACGCGCGGACCAAGGCGCGCGCGTGGACGTAGGCGCGCGCGTGGACCAAGTCGCGAGCGCGTGGACCAAGGCGCGCGCGTGGACCAAGTCGCGCGCGCGTGGACCAAGGCGCGCGCGTCGCTCCAACGTGCTTTAAGTCGCGCAAGTTGGTTTCAATTGGAGGGGGTGTTCTCCAGGTGCCAGTGGCTGGTCGGAGGGGAGAGGAGGTCGGAGGGGGTAGGAAGTCGGAGGGGGAATGGACGAGAGTGCGGGAGTTTTTGCAAGGTGAGCCAAATGCATGCATGTGTGTGTGCATGTTCGTGCATCTATGTGCATGTGTATGGGTGCATACACAGGGGTATTGTGTGTAAATAGGTCAGTGTATAGACTTACAGCACGTTGAGTTTGGCATACGACATCGAGTCCAAGAGTCGCTCTATAAAGGGGACGGGGTGGAAGTGCCTTGCCGTGTCTGTGGCAAGGCAGAGAGAACAGAGGATGGTGGGAACAGAGGGTGGTGGGAACAGAGGGAAATGGGGTGAGAGGGGGGTGAGAGGGGGGTGAGAGGGGGGTGAGAGGGGGGTGAGGTGAGAGAGGGAGGCATGAAGTCCAGATTGACTTGCCTCAACAAGTGACTTCACACCCACCAGCACCGCTCTCTCACTCAGCACCACCGCTTTTCCACCCAGCAGCACCACTCTCCCACCCAGCAGCACCGCTCTCCCACCCAGCACCACCACTCTCTCACCCAGCAGCACCCCTCGGTGGGGGAAGCGCGGGCGGTCGTGGATGGTGAGAGGCACGCCTTGCAGCAGAGCCAGACGGGAAGAGGGGTCCCCACGCACCAGCTGACTCAACGTCTGCCATAAGAGGAGGGGAGGGAGAGGGGGAGGCGGAGAGGGGGTTGGGGGGTGGAGAGGGGGAGGGGGAGGGGGAGGGGGAGGGTGAGGCGGAGCGGGAGGGGGAAAGGGAGTAGGAAGGGAGGGGGAGGGTGAGGGGGAGCGGGAGGGGGAAGGGGAGTGGGAAGGGAAGGGGAAGGGGATGGTGAGCCGAACACAACGGGCGGCAAAATGTGGGCGGCAAGCTGGGGCAAACAACAAAGAACATACCTCCAGTGCTCTGAGTGCGCCCACTGTTGTGTTAGCCTGGCGGAGCAATGGGGGGAGGGGTGGACGCAGGGAGGAGGAGGGGGAAGAAGCACGGAAAGAATGGGTGGAGAGGGGAGAGGGTGGGTGACGAGACACGGTGGCATGCGAGGGGTGCATGCGAGGGGTGCATGCAACATGGAGAAACCACACCACCCGTGCACCGCAACCCATCCCCTGCACCGCGCCCAGCACTCCTGCTCAAAAAGCAGCACTGCTCACGTGGATTTTGATCATTGCTGCTGACGACGAATGGCCCGGTGCAGCAGGGACCCCCGCAGTGAGCACATAGCTCTCGTCTGCCCCCACCTCCAGCTGTGAGGAAGAAGGGGGAAGGGGGGTTGGTTGTTGGGTGTGGGGGGGCTGTCAATCACTCCTGGCAAATGGCCCGGTGCAGCAGGGACCCCCACAGTCAGCACATAGCTCTCGTCTGCCCCCACCTCCAGCTGTGAGGAAGAAGGGGGAAGGGGGGTTGGTTGTTGGGTGTGGGGGGGCTGTCAATCACTCCTGGCAAATGGCCCGGTGCAGCAGGGACCCCCACAGTCAGCACATAGCTCTCGTCTGCCCCCACCTCCAGCTGTGAGGAAGAAGGGGGAAGGGGGGTTGGTTGTTGGGTGTGGGGGGGCTGTCAATCACTCCTGGCAAATGGCCCGGTGCAGCAGGGACCCCCACAGTCAGCACATAGCTCTCGTCTGCCCCCACCTCCAGCTGTGAGGAAGAAGGGGGAAGGGGGGTTGGTTGTTGGGTGTGGGGGGGCTGTCAATCACTCCTGGCAAATGGCCCGGTGCAGCAGGGACCCCCACAGTCAGCACATAGCTCTCGTCTGCCCCCACCTCCAGCTGTGAGGAAGAAGGGGGAAGGGGGGTTGGTTGTTGGGTGTGGGGGGGCTGTCAATCACTCCTGGCAAATGGCCCGGTGCAGCAGGGACCCCCACAGTCAGCACATAGCTCTCGTCTGCCCCCACCTCCAGCTGTGAGGAAGAAGGGGGAAGGGGGGTTGGTTGTTGGGTGTGGGGGGGCTGTCAATCACTCCTGGCAAATGGCCCGGTGCAGCAGGGACCCCCACAGTCAGCACATAGCTCTCGTCTGCCCCCACCTCCAGCTGTGAGGAAGAAGGGGGAAGGGGGGTTGGTTGTTGGGTGTGGGGGGTCTGTCAATCACTCCTGGCAAATGGCCCGGTGCAGCAGGGACCCCCACAGTCAGCACATAGCTCTCGTCTGCCCCCACCTCCAGCTGTGAGGAAGAAGGGGGAAGGGGGGTTGGTTGTTGGGCGTGGGGGGGCTGTCAATCACTCCTGGCAAATGGCCCGGTGCAGCAGGGACCCCCACAGTCAGCACATAGCTCTCGTCTGCCCCCACCTCCAGCTGTGAGGAAGAAGGGGGAAGGGGGGTTGGTTGTTGGGTGTGGTGGGGCTGTCAATCACTCCTGGCAAATGGCCCGGTGCAGCAGGGACCCCCACAGTCAGCACATAGCTCTCGTCTGCCCCCACCTCCAGCTGTGAGGAAGAAGGGGGAAGGGGGGTTGGTTGTTGGGTGTGGGGGGGCTGTCAATCACTCCTGGCAAATGGCCCGGTGCAGCAGGGACCCCCACAGTCAGCACATAGCTCTCGTCTGCCCCCACCTCCAGCTGTGAGGAAGAAGGGGGAAGGGGGGTTGGTTGTTGGGTGTGGGGGGGCTGTCAATCACTCCTGGCAAATGGCCCGGTGCAGCAGGGACCCCCACAGTCAGCACATAGCTCTCGTCTGCCCCCACCTCCAGCTGGCCGGGAGAATGGGGGAAGGGGGAAGAGGGGGGGTTGTTGGGTGGGTGGGGCTAGAGATTGCTGACGACGAATGGGCGATGCATGCATCATCACCGCTCTCCACCCCTCTGTACCTCTTCCTCTGGCCGGGCAACCGCAATGAGCAGAGATTCCACAAGGAGCACTGCCCCCACTGTCTCGCCCCCCCTGCCGCTACTGTTGTCGCTGTCACTGCCGCTGCCGCTGCCGCTGCCGCTGCCGCTGCCGCTGCCGCTGCCGCTGCCGCTGCCGCTGCCGCTGCCGCTGCTGCTATTGCTGCTGCTGCCGTTGACCATGCTCCTCCCCCTGGTCTCCTCCCCTTGCTCTCTCAACAGCCTGTCCTCCCAGCCAGTGAACAGCTGCCACGTGGACAGCACCACCTGTCTCAGCCACCACGAGACAGGCCCATGACCCAGCCGTCCAACCAGCACGTGACACCTGGCGAGCAGTGATGAGCCTGGGGAATCGGACAACAGTTTGCCGCTCGCACGAAACATCAGTGACCCCTCCTCTGGCTGCTGCCATGCACTTTTCTCCCCTTGCCCTTTTCCTCCCTCCTCTCCTCCTCCTTCTCCACCTCCCCTTTCCTCAAGCGCAGCCAGGAGGGCGGGCAGGGAGCGGTGTGGGGAGAGGGTGGAGGAGAGAAAGTGGTGGAAGGCAGCACACAGCACCGCACGGCCTGCTGCCTGCTGTGATGCACGTCTCCTTGCCCCCCCTGCTGCCCGCCCTGCTGCTTCCCTTGAAGCCTCCTGTGACGCCACCTGTGCTGCATCTTGCTGCCGCACACGTGAAGAGCCACCATATTCACCGCCCACCTCACCACCCTCCCCGTTGCCCCACTCACAACCCCCCTCCTCCCCCTCCTCTCCCTCCTCCTTATCTCCCATCCCTGCACCCCTTTCCCCCAGCACCAGCGACAGCTGCAGCAAGGGACTGATGGCCGCCTCTTGACGCCCCACAGCAGCAATGAGTGCCGGCATGGGCCACACCAGGAGCCCCACTCGCCGCCTTAACTCCTCCTCACTCACCTCCTCTCCTCTCACCTCCTCTCCTCTCGCCTCCTCTGCTCTCTTGCTTATTCCCTCTCCCCCTCTTGCTCCCTCTTCCCCTCCCACTCCCTCTCTTCCCTCGCTCCCTCCCTCACTCATTCCTGTGTTCACTCCCTCGCCCACTCCCTCACTCACTCCCTCACTCGCACCCACTGTTCTTCCTCTGCTTTGATCAGTCCTTTCTCCCCTTCCATCCTCCCCATCCCATTCCCTCCCACCACCCGCCTCCCCACTTCCCTCCGCGCCCACATCCAAACCCCTCAACAGCCGCCCCGTTCTGCCCCTTTCACCGTCTCTATCCATCTCCCTCTCCTTCTCCCCTAACCCTTCCTTCTCCCCCTTCATCCCCCTCCTTCCTTCCCCTGTATCCTCCCTCCTCCCACCCTGCCCCGCCCCTCTCCACTCCTTGCCACCGAACCTCTTTTGCCTCCCCAACGCGCCCTTATCTGACCGCACCCACCTGGGTCGAACCTTCATGCGCTGTCCTCTCACCCTTCTGCCATCAGATATAACCACCTCTCCTCTCGCCGTCTCGTCACCCTTCTCTCTCCGCCTCACCTCCTCACCTTTCCCTCCGCCCCTCACCTCCGCACCCCCCTCTCCATTCGTTCTCACCCCTTCCCTCCCCCCACTCTTCTCCCCTTGACCATCCCCATCCCTATCCTCGATACTGGCTGCATCGTTAGCATGCACAAGTCCATCACGCAGCACTGTATCGCCAGCATAAATATCCACGCTCGCACCAGGGGCAGCAGCACCAAACTGTTCGTTATAAGCAGGTCCCGTATAAATATGCTCTTGCTCCACAACCTCCTCTCCTCTCTCCTTCCCACTCTCCCCTGCCCCCATTTCCCTCTCAATTCCACCATCCCTCTCCTCCCCCCTCGTCTTCTCCTCATCCCCCCTGTCCCTCGTCTCCCCCCTCACCTTCTCCTCCCTCATCGTCCTCTCACCCTGCATCGCCGCCAGCAGCGGTGCCAGCGCCACACGTGCATCATCCACGTCCCTCTCCCGCGCCTCCTCCCGCTCCGCCTCCTCCTCCCACTTCTCCCGCTGCGTCACCATCACCGCCCAGCTCGGCACCCCATGCGAGCCTCCCCGTGCTTGATTCCCCTCAAGTGAGCGCTCATGCGACCCTCCCGCTAGCCCCGTTTTAGGCCCCTCAGGTGAGCGCCACACATCCAACCCTCCCCGTGGCACTGTGCGAGGGGACTTGGGAAAGGGCACATCTGCAGCATCCCCCGTTTCAGTCACCTCGCGTGAAGGCGCATCTGATGCTCTCGGTGGCGGGGTTTCAGTCACGTCAGGAAAGGGTACATCCGATGCTCCTCCCGCTGCTGCTTCAACAGACTCGCCTGCAGCAGCAACAGGCGCTGGTGCCTGCTGACTCGGTTGACTCAGTTGACTCGGTTGACTCCCCCCTCCTGGCCCCCCATCTCCCCCATCTCCCTCCTCATCTTCCTCACCCTCCTCATCCTCCTCATCCTCCTCATCCTCCTCACTCTCCTCACCCTCCTCACCCTCCTCACGCTCTTCATCCTCATCATCCTCCCCTGCCCCCTCATTCTCCTCCTCGACCCACTCCCCGTCATCATCGTAATCGTTTCCCTCCTCCGCTTCTCTCAACCCCCCCTTTCCCACAGCCACTCTCCCATCAGTATCTGAACTCCCTAGTACACTGTTATCTGCTGACTCATGCCTGTCACCTGCTGACTCATCCCTGTCATCTGCTGACTCGTATCTGTAATCTGCTGACTCATCATTCTGATCTGCTGACTCAGCCATTGCAGCTCCTGGCGCGAGCAGTAATGCATCATCACTTCCCTCATTCTCACTCACTCCCTCATTCCCTCCCTCATTCCCTCCCTCACTCCCTCCCTCATTACCTCCAGTCGGCATATCCTGTAATTTTCCCTCTCTCTCTTCCCGCACCCACTGCTCCTCCTCCATTTTCCACTCTTCCCCACTCTCTTCCGCTTCCCCCTTCTCCGCCCAACTCCACTCCGCCCGCGCCCACCACGGCCCATTCTCCGCCCGCTCCGCGGAAAGCGCATCAACGCGCGCGCGCCACTCCACATATAACAGTTCTCGCCTTAGTTTCCGCCACCCTTTGCGGCTGTTGCCTTCCCTCGAATCGCCTCGTGCGTAGCCGAGATTCACCGCGTAACCCGCGGATCCGCGCAGCCCTTCCGCGGATGTATCCGCCTCCAACAATGGCGTATGTCGAGCATTGTCTCTTAAATTCTGCGCGATATGAGAAGGGGAGGAGTTCTGCTCTTGCGGAGCGCGATACCGCAGCCGGATGTCAAGCGCGGAGTGCGGGGAGAAGCGCAGGAGTGCGAGAAGTCCGAATAAGGCGGTGGAAAGGAGCAGCAGGCGACGGGGAGTCAAATGGAATGCGGAAGCCGCTGGCAAAGGCCCGCGGAGTCGGCGGGAGGCGGTACCCGCACCGCTGTGAGAGTCGTGGACGGGCATTCTTCGCGTGGAGACAATCGTGGGTACTAAATACTATTCGTAGTGATCATAATGTATATAAAACAAATGGCGCTCAAAATTCGTGTCAGAATGGCCGAGCTGGTCTAAGGCGCCAGTTTCAGGTACTGGTTTGAAAGGGCATGGGTTGGAATCCTATTTCTGACAGCCATTTTCTCGCCTTTTATGAGGCCTGACACAACACTTAAAGCCGGCGGCTCAAATTGTTCATGCTTTTAAAAGTTGACCAGAGGGAGTTTTTCTGGTGTGGGCTTTGGCGAGAGTTTCCGATTTCGTCTAGGTTCGTTTTTTTCGCGAGACCCAGCCAACCCTCGGTTTTCCCCCTGGTGAGTGAATCTGTCTTCGAAAGTCCCAAATTGCAAGTGCGTGACTTTCAAAAGCTTGGACACTCAACTTCGTCAAGTTTTAAAAACTTGACCCTCGCGGCCCGCAATTTGGGACGCGGGCTTTAAACTACCATATCATACATTTTTTGCGGATAAACCATATTAGGTATATCTGCAGCACACATACGTGTTATTCAGGTGTTGCGTTGGAGCACTTTGGGTATCGAGTACGTGAGAGGCCACAAACTGGACCTTGTACTGAAGCTTGTACTGAATATCGACCACCCTGAATGCGACAATTGGAAGATTCGAGTAACCCAGCTTGTCGGAGCCATTCTCGAGCGCAGATATTTTTCCAGAAAAATATCTCAGTCTGCCGAACGGTCGCGATTCTCCGCGATGTATCCAGGCGACGGCGAACCGACAAGGCAACCACCTTGGGAGCTGCGCGAAGTTGTCCTTGCGAAGGATCAATCAAGGACTTCGCCAGGAATTCCATCGCGGAACCTCGTCTGTCAATGCAATATCCTGGTTACATGGCACTCATTGGTGCACGAAGTTGTCAACGGCCATGTGCGACGCCCAACAATCGAACCTTCAGGAAGCTAAGGATACGTTGCTGTCATGCCAATAACCAAGCAAACAGCCATGGCTGCTCCCGTCACCTCCCCGTTTTCTGACTGGAAACGAGCTGTCTGGTTAGGAAGCACCAGTCCAGCAGTGACGGGGGTGCATCCGCTATGGCTTCCAGACCCGTCCCAAGTTGCCATGCCACGTCCTCCTCGTTCGATGTTTTTTTGCAGTTTGACTGCCTTCTAGTTGATTCCTTGAAGCACCAGCTGCGCACCGAGTGGTTACTAATAGCTGTTCCGTAGTGCCTATTTCGTGTCTGAGAGATTTTTCTCGGCAGCCATAAATATCAAGCATCTATGCCTTGATACTCTTCCGTTAAGTCAAGAGCAAGTAGCAGTTTCTTCTCCCCTTTCATGATTCTAGCAGCATTTACCCCGACTCTATCGTAGCAGCATCAAGCGCTGCTTTCTTCAGCGTTCCGTCGTTGAATTCGTCGCTGCATAACTCGCATATTGTCATTCTCGCAGCTTCTGATCTCCTAACTAGCCAATATGGGTTGTGTTCGCACCATGAAGCTTAGGAAGCCCCACCGCTCTGAACCGTATGATGTTCATTCAGGCTCAGGTTCAGCTTTTCACTCAGGCTTCGACCAATCACCACCGTTCTTTTCCTCCAGCGATCCAGTTTTCGTCAACATTGACTGGGAAATTCTTGAGAACGACGGTTCCGGGGTGTCTTGTCCGATGTGGATCGTGACGGACACTGCCGACGCCTACGTCTTTTCCGTCGAGCAGCGCGGTTTTCCTCTGCAGCACGTGCAAGTTTTGCTGGATCGGAACTCAAGCCAGGAATCTGGCGAGTTTCACGGCGATGCAGAGAGTGATTGTTACAGATTCTTCCAGCAGCAGAATGACAGAATACGTACTTCAGGCAATCATGTGTCTGCGCTGCTCACCATTGTCTGCAAGTTCCATTCTGCTCCGACGCCTGCAGACGGAGACGTTTTCCGTCAGCGTCTGCTTCAGAACCAGCACCAGCAGCAGTTCACGGTGACGGGTTCCGTCCAGACGACTGGCCGGCGGTTCAAACTGCCAGCAGATGCCATCGCGGAGAGCACGACCGCCGTTCACACGGAGGCGGGATCAGTGGTGGTGAACGTCCCTCGTTCTCCGCAGAAGAGACCTTTCCCGTCGCGGTTTTCATCCGCTCCTTGCGATCTTGCTGAAACGCAGCCGTTCGTGAGATTCGGTCGGTGGAGTGTAGACGTGGCGTCAACAGCTTCGTCCTTCTCGCCACCATCGCCGTCAGCGTCAGCGTCGCAGTCACAGTCACTAGCATCCTCGTCGTCCTTCTCCTCCTCTTTCTCCCCCTTCTCCCCTTCTTCGCCATCTTCATCGCCATCCTTTTCATCTTCGTCCATTTCTTCTTCCTGGCCTTCGCTCATACCCTCTCAGTCTCCTGCTACATTTGCTCCTGATCTGGTCCCAGATATGAGGGTGGCAGGCAACGCAGCGTCTGTGTGTTGCAGCAGAAAAACAAGCTCCATTTGGCCATTTGCACAGCAGCATCATAATCAGTGCTACTGTGATTCTTGTACAGATAATTGGAATGGTTTTGCTGGTGAGCCAGCTGCTGATGCGATGCAAGTTTCTTAGGGGGGATCGTGCGTGAAATCTCCCCTAGAGTTTGTCATGCTCTTCTGCATCTTGCTGTATATGTAAATATTAGTTATGAATTTCGATTGGTTAGTTTCAAATGCACATATGGGCTGGGTGGGTTGGACTGGATTGGATGCTTTCTTACCTGCCGGCTACTGTAATGTTTGGTATAATGTAGATTTTTACAACTCGAGAATAGCATGCATTTACATGCAGCTTTCCTAGCTTCCCCTGTACCATTCACAGAGAAAGTGATCCCATTGCACACCAACACTGCCCGCGCTTTTATTTTGCCGCAGCATTCTCAATTGCTGCTATGCAGTCTTCTACAGGGGCTTCCCTTGCCATGGCTTCCATGAGAGCATCAAAAGACTTGGAGTTGTTTTTGATTAGCGAAGCCGCATAGAGTACCTGGTGAATGATGGGCAGAAGACAGGGGAAAAAAAAAAAAAAAAAAAAAAAAAAACCTTAAATTAGACACACAGTTAGATGTGCTCGAGACAGAGGTAAGTATCAGGGCTACACAAGTCTGCCCCTATGGGCTCTCCATCGGGGTTACAGTGCGAGAAAACAAGCTTTTGTTGCCTCAAGTAGCGCACAGCACCAAGCCTACTTTGCCAGGAGGAATCCTAAACATGGATTTGAAACCATGCATCACCAAGGCATGACTCACCGCCCAGCGTGTGAGGTTCTGCTGCCTCTCGGGGGTGAGGGCGCCGAGCCCGCTGCGGTTGATGAGGCGCTGCAGCGAGTTGAGGTCAGCTGTCTGCCCCATCACCTGCTCGTACTGCAGCCCCTCCGCTGCCATCCCTGCCATCGCCACCACTGCGAGTCTGCAGCAAGGGGGGTTGTGAGGTGTGCCAGCGGGGGACGAAGAGAAAACGTAAGGTCAACCAGCCCCCCCATAATGTGCTCTCGCATTTCAGCCCCTCTGCTGCCGTGCCGGCTATGGCAAATGCATGGGGAGTGGAAAAAGTGGATGGGGAGATGGCATGTGGCCAAACCACATCAACCACATGTCCGTGAGCCTGCCCAGAAGCTTCCCTCTGTAGCTCTGCTTCTACAGCATATTCTTATGATCCGCAAGTTCCAGCTTCAAATCAGACTGGCGGTAGTGCCTCGTGGAGAATATCTCACCTGTCCACGTCATCACTCTCCAGCTTGCCACTGTAGATCTTCTTCTGCAGCTTATCATCCAGCAGATTCGTGTGCTCCTTGCCAATGTCCAATGAGTACGCGACAGGTGGCAGGCCCAGAAGGTACGCCACTGCAGCAGGACGAGGGGAGGCGAGGGGGGAGAGGGGAGTCGGGACAATATGGAAAATGATAGGAGATAGGAGGGCGGCAGGGTCAGGGTAGCAGAGGAGTGGATGCTTTCTAGCATGCAGGGCTAGGGGGCAAGGTAAGCAAGGGACCGCTGGGCTGAAATTGAAAGAAAGGAGGAGATGGCATGATGGCAGTGGGAGGGAGAGGGACTGACAGAGGAAGTGGCCTGCCTCGTGGCGGAGCACTCGGTCCTTGTAGTCCGAGAATACAGGCGCCATGGCTCCTATGCCGCCCTGGAGAAGCCTGTAACGCGGATGGAGAGAAGGAGGAGAATGAAAGCAGATGGGCTATGCCAATACAGCGTGCTCACTCTTAATGAAAGACTGGATAGAAAGCATGCTGAGTAATCGTCTATTCTTTCTTCTTTCTTTATTTCTTTGTTTGTTTATGTTTCCTTCGATTTCATGTGCGCCACCAGGAACGCATCCACATTTTGTGATCTCTTCCGGGGGCTCTGCATTGGTGTATGTCACTACGACTGAACTGACTCAGCTCACAACACGGATTGCTTCACTGCTTGCGTCCGAGAGTGAGTGTGCACAGGGTTAGAGTGTGAAACACCGGGTGTGCTTGAGTGCTTGTGAAAAATAGTGGGTGAGTACAGGGCTAGAGCGTGAGAGAGCAGGGCATACCCTGGAGCAACGCTGCCGACAGCGAGGACAACAATGGAGATGCCGCCCACCAGATACGGCACGAAGAAGCCCCAGTCCTGCAAGAGCACGTGGGAGGGGGAACGCAGACAGATGGTGTGGGTCGTAATGGGACAGATGGCGGGGGGGGTGGTGGGGGCGGCACGTGGCCTAGTGTAGATGATCGAGGGAACGCAAGGGTGACTTTTGAGAATTCTCAAAAGTGACTCCCAGTGTAGGTAATCGAGGGAACGCAAGGGTGCCGGGCGTCGGCTAACTGCAGGAAACTTTTACCCCTCTCATTCTTGATCAGCCGTTTTAGCCCCTTATCACCACTGATCAGCCCTGACCACCCCTGCCCACCCCTGCCCACCCCTGCTCACCCCTGGTAGTTGGGTGCCGGCGAGGGCGAGGATGGAGGTGGTGCCGACCACCGTGGCAAGGAAGAGCGCCTGGTGGGGGCAAGGTAGGGAATGGATGGAGGCCATTAAGGGGAGGGCGTCGGGACGAGGGGTTTGAGAAGTGCTGATTGAGATGTGCGGATTGAGAAGTGTTGATTGAGAAGATGGATTAGGACGACTGAATCGGGACGAAGGAAGTGGGAGGACGGGGTTACGGGCGACAGGGGAGAGGAGGAAGGAAAGGGGGAAGGCAGAATGGGGGAGGCAAGGACGAGCAGAGGAGAAGGAGTAGCGGGGAATGGAAAAACGTCGGCTGGGAAGGAGTGGAAGAAGAGGTGTGCGCGCAGCCTCACGTACATCGTTACACGCAGCAACACTTTCATTAACACGTACATCGTTACACGCAGCAACACTTTCATTAACACGTACATCGTTGCGGACAGACGGCACGGCGAGCTTCTCCGCGTTCTTGATGCCCACTTGCGTCAGCTCTCGCACACTCGCCTGCACGCAACAGCGGAAGGCACGCATTCACAAATTCCACATCTCATCAAGCTGGCGAGCTCGTCCCCTTCGCAACCAGAAGGACAGTCAACTCAGAGCAAAGAATGAGAGCATGGCGCAGCACGCATTGAATATTTCTCCATGTGATTCACGCTGAAGTGCATGCCTTTTCGTTTGAAACCCACCGACGATTCAGTTGTTCCCCCAATGCTCACTTCCACTCACCGTTCGTCTCGCGACGTTAGGGTAGCTGCCCCAGGCCGTGACGGAGCCGGCTTCCTTCAAACACTCTAGAGCCACCTTCAATGCCTCCGAGTCGCGCTGTGAATCCACAGGAACCGTGGAGGAGGGTGGAATCAGGGAAAAGGTCAAAATGGAATGGGAAAGTGCTTCTTGAGTCGTGTCGTGGTTCGAGTGTGACATGACGTCGAGCGAGAGAAGTCGAGCGAGAACCAACCTTGTCCAGTGCTGGCTTCAACGTGATTGGAATCAGTCCGGCCGTTGAGGATGCAGCAGAAGCTCCTGATGAGGAGGCAACGGACGGCTCGGATGAACTCGAGGCCCTCGTTACACGCACAACCCGGTATGGTACCGTACTGCCTTGGCTGCTCGACAGAAAATTAACATTTGAACGAACGGCATTCCAGCAGTTACGTTTCGAGCTTTCGATTAAATTAGACGACGCACTAAAGCCGGCGGTGATAGCCCGCGAGGGCCCCGAGGCAACGAGCGAGGCCATGGCACCAACGATTTCAGGCACCTAACAAGTTAAGGACTGCTTTGTTCTAAAAAGCAAGGCAGGGGAACAAATTTGCAACCAGATAATTGAAACAGATGCCTGAAATTGTAAGGCTGTGTAAGTCTGGCACTGGAAGGGTGTGAGAGCCTGAAGCTAGGCGAAGTTTGAAACTGGAAGCTTGAAACTGAAAGGCTGAAACTGCAAGCTTGAATTTGAAGACAAGAATCCGTGATTTCACGCAACTCCAGTTCTTTGTCCCTAAATGCTCGAGGTCATCAATGTGGCACGACATTCCCAGGGCCTGGTCAGGTTTGGTGAAGGTTGCTTCGGAAGCCACCGGATATGCCAGATGTGAGAGTATTCCGTGCGGGGATAGCTCAGTTGGGAGAGCGTCAGACTGAAGATCTGAAGGCCGCGTGTTCGATCCACGCTCACCGCATATCTTCGCCCTTTCCCAGGGACCAATACTTAAAGCCCGAGTTCTACATGGCAGTTTTCAAGTTCGAGATTCCTGAATATTTTTTCGCAAAAAACCATGTTACCACCCGAAGTGGAGGATATCCGTCGCGATCCAGAGGGGAGGTTTTGCGACGTTGTTCCATGATTGGCCAGCGACAAAACCAGTCATTCCGAGTAAAGGGTCGGAGGGCAATGGAGCACTGTTCACTTTCAGTAAACTTGAAAACCATGTTGTACTAAATGGCAGGCATATTGACAGCCTACGTTTACTTAGTTCACCCGTTTTTCACGCCCAAACTTTCTCCGTATCACTCCTTTTCTCCGTAGCAGCTGTATCAGTACAGCAGCCTATTTGGTGGCAAATACGAACAGCCAATCATAAAACCAGTCGGAGATGTCCCATTTATACAATAACTAGAGAGCTCACATGCGTGTGCGGTGCGCACCCAACCGGATATAGTTACTCGCGCGACGCCAACACGTGCCTGCACGTCACAATTCCATCCACCCCCCCGGCGTCTAACCCGGGTTGCGCATCTAGACGGTCGCACGGTCGAGGGTCAAGTATATCCCTTCCGACTGTTGCTCTCCCTTCCGCCGTCGCTCTCCCTTCCGCCGTCGCTCTCCCTTCCGCCCGTCGCCCTTCTTTCCCCCTCGTCGCCCTGCCTTCCGTCCGTCGCCCACCCTTGTTCCCGTCGCCCTCCCTTCCCGTCGCCCTCCCTTCCCGTCGCCCTCCCTTCCCGTCGCCCTCCCTTCCCGTCGCCCTCCCTTCCCGTCGCCCGCGCTTCTTCCCGTCGCCCTCCCTTCCCGTCGCCTTCCCTTCCCGTCGCCCGCGCTTCTTCCCGTCGCGCTTCTTCCCGTCGCCCTCCCTTCCCGTCGCCCTCCCTTCCCGTCGCCCTCCCTTCCCGTCGCCCTCGCTTTCCCCGTCGCCCTGCCATCCACTCCCCGTCGCCCTCGCCTTCCCTCCCGTCTCCCTTCCCATCTCGCACACTTGTCACCCTCCCTTTTCTCTCCCTACTCCCTCTTTTCCCTCCCTCCAATAATCGCCTTCCTTCCCCCAACTTATACCCCTTCCCTGCTTCCCCCCATCCCCTGCCCTGCTTCCCCCCATCCCCTGCCCTGCTTCCCCCCATCCTCTTCATTCTTTCCCCGTATCCCCAGCCCTGCTTCCCCCCATCCCCTTCCCTGCTTCCCCCCATCTCCTTCCCTTCTTCCCCCCATCTCCGTCCCTGCTTCCCCCCATCCCCCTCCCTGCTTCCCCCCATACCCCTTCCCTGCTTCCCCCCATCCCCTTCCCTGCTTCCCCCCATCCCCTTCCCTGCTCCCCCCCATCCCCTTCCCTGCTTCCCTCATTCCCTTCCCTGCTTCCCTCATCCCCTGCCCTGCTTCCCCATGTCCCCTGCCCTGCTTCCCCCCATCCCCTTCCCTTCTTCCCCCCATCTCCTTCCCTTCTTCCCCCCATCCCCCTCCCTGCTTCCCCCCATACCCCTCCCTGCTTCCCCCCATACCCCCCCCTGCTTCTCCCCATCCCCCTCTCTGCTTCCCCCCATACCCCTCCCTGCTTCCCCCCATCCCCTTCCCTGTTCCCCCCCATCCCCTTCCCTGCTTCCCCCCCATCCCCCTCCCTGCTTCCCCCCATCCCCTTCCCTGTTCCCCCCCATCCCCTTCCCTGCTTCCCCCCCATCCCCCTCCCTGCTTCCCCCCATCCCCTTCCCTGCTTCCCCCCCATCCCCCTCCCTGCTTCCCCCCATCCCCTTCCCTGCTCCCCCCCATCCCCTTCCCTGCTCCCCCCCATTCCCTTCCCTGCTTCCCCCCATCTCCTTCCCTTCTTCCCCCCATCTCCGTCCCTGCTTCCCCCCATCCCCCTCCCTGCTTCCCCCCATACCCCTCCCTGCTTCCCCCCATCCCCCTCTCTGCTTCCCCCCATACCCCTCCCTGCTTCCCCCCATCCCCTTCCCTGTTCCCCCCCATCCCCTTCCCTGCTTCCCCCCCATCCCCCTCCCTGCTTCCCCCCATCCCCTTCCTTGCTTCCCCCCATCCCCCTCCCTGCTTTCCCCCATCCCCCTCCCTGCTTCCCCATGTTCCCTTCCCTGCTTGCCCCCATCCCCTTCCCTGCTTTCCCCCATCCCCCTCCCTGCTTTCCCCCATCCCCCTCCCTGCTTGCCCCCATCCCCTTCCCTGCTCCCCCATGTCCCCTTCCCTGCTTTCCCCCATCCCCCTCCCTGCTTCCCCCCATCCCCTTCCGTGCTTTTCCCCCTCCCGTTTCCATCGCTTTCCCCCTCCCGTCGCCCTCGCTCTCCCCCTCCCGTCGACCTCGCTTTCCCCCTGCTCACTCGCATCCCTCCTGCTCACTCTCTTTCCCTCTGCTCACTCTCTTCCCCCTTTCTCACTCTGCCCCCCCTTCCTCACTCTGTTTCCCCCTGCTCACTCTCTCCTCCTCACTCTATTCCCCCCTGCTCTATTCCCCCTGCTCTGTTCCACCCTGCTCACTCTCTCCTCCTCACTCTAATCCCCCCTGTTCTGTTCCCCCCTGCTCTATTCCCCCCCGCTCTATTCCCCCCTGCTCTATTCCCCCCCTGCTCTATTCCCCCCTGCTCTATTCCCCCCTGCTATATTCCCCCCTGCTCTATTCCCCCCTGCTCTATTCCCCCCTGCTCTATTCCCCCCTGCTCTGTTCCCCCCTGCTATGTTCCCCCCTGCTATATTCCCCCCTGCTCTATTCCCCCCTGCTCTGTTCCCCCCTGCTCAATTCCCCCCTGCTCTATTCCCCCCTGCTCAATACCCCCCTGCTCTATTCCCCCTGCTCTATTCCCCCCTGCTCTATTCCCCCCTGCTCTATTCCCCCCTCCTCTATTCCCCCCTGCTCTATTCCCCCCTGCTCTATTCCCCCCTCCTCTATTCCCCCCTGCTCTATTCCCCCCTGCTCTATTCCCCCCTCCTCTACTCCCCCCTGCTCTATTCCCCCCTGCTCTATTCCCTCCTGCTCTGTTCCCCCCTGCTCTATTCCCCCCTCCTCTATTCCCCCCTGCTCTATTCCCCCCTGCTCTCTCCCCCCTTGCTCTCTCTCTTCTCACCTCCTCACTCCGTTTCCCCCTTGCTCACTCGGTTTTCCCATTGCTCATTCTCTTTCCCCCTGCTCACTCTCTTTCCCCATTGCTCATTCTCTTCCCCGCTGCTCATTCTCTTTCCCCTTGCTCATTCTGTTTCCCCCTGCTCATTCTGTTCCCCCCCTGTTCACTCCCTTCCCCCATGCCCACCCTCTTTCCCCCTGCTCACTCCCTTTCCCCCCTTCTCACTCTCTCCCCCCCTCCTCACTCTCTTTCCCCCCTGCTCAATGTCTCCCCTGCACTCTGTTTTTTCCTGCTCATTCTGTACAGGTCCCCAGCACCAGGTGTAGGGAGGGACCCACAAGTCCTGCTTTTTTGCTGCTGTGTATGCAGACAAGAGTGGGAAAAGACATATTATTAACTTGGTTCTTTTTTTACTAGATTGTTGCACTTCGTAGGTGGTCAATGGTCACTCTACTCCATGCATCAAAATTTAGTTATCATAATAAGCATACAACATTCCCACAGCCATGTATCATACCTAGGGGTACTATCAAACAACCAACATTCCAGCCGGTAAGCATACAAAAGAATGACAACTGACAAGGAAGCAACACGAAGAGGAAGAAATAAAAAGACACTCCTGGAACGGTAGGAGACAAACAGAAGGACGACCAGGGGAAAAGAGGGACAGAGAAACGGAGGAAGGGACGTATGGAGGAAGAGAGGAACAGAGGAAGGGAAGGATGGATGGGGAGGGAGGACGGGGGAAAGGGAGGACAGGCAGCACCACGTCTGCCTATGCTGTGTGACTCTGCCCACCGCCATCCACCCACAGCGCCCCAAGCAGCTCCCTGGTGCAGAAAAGCACAAGGGATGAAGAGGTGCCGCTGGGCCGAGGGCGGTGTGGGAAACACCTGGAGGGGAGGGTGAGAGGATCGGATGGGGAAAGGACGGATGGGGAGGGATGAGGAGAGGATGGATGGGAAGAGGAGGGAAGTGGTGAGGTGGGATGGCCGGATGGGGAGAGGACGGGAGGGGGTGGGGAGAAGAGGGGATGGTGAGAGGAGGGGATGGGGAGAGGAGGGGACGCGGTGACGAGGGAAGGGGAAAGAAGCGGATGTGTATAGGAGGAGATGGGGTGAGGAGGAGATGGGGTTAGGAGTATGGTGAATGGGGTATGGTGGAATGGTGAAAGTAGGCATGGGGAATGGAAGGATGGGGAACGGAGGGAGAGTGAATGACGGGATGGGGAAAGGAGGTCTGGGGAAACGAGGAAAGGGGGATGGGAAGTAGGATGGCAGGGCGAGAGGAAGGGATTGAGAGAAGGGGGGAGGAAGGGCGGAAGAGGGGGATGGGAAGTAGGAAGAGGTGGGAAATGGCGACGTGTGACGATGCCACGGGGTGCGGCGGAGATGGGGTGAGGCATGGGGAGATGAGGGATGGATGGATGAGCGATGGAGAGGTGAGGCATGGGGAGATGAGGGATGGGGAGGTGAGAGATGGGGAGGTGAGGGATGGGGAGGTGAGAGATGGGGAGGTGAGGGATGGGGAGATGAGGGATGGGGAGGTGAGAGATGGGGAGGTGTGGGATGGGGAGATGAGGGATGGGGAGATGAGGGATGGGGAGATGCGGGATGGGGAGATGCGGGATTGGGAGATGAGGGACGGGGAGGTGAGGGAAGGGGAGATGAGGGATGGGGATATGCGGGATGGGGAGATGAGGGATGCGGAGATGAGGGATGGGGAGATGAGAGATGAGGAGGTGAGGCATGGGGAGGTGAGGGATGGGGAGATGAGGGATGGAGAGATGAGGGAAGGGGAGATGAGGGATGGGGAGATGAGGGATGGGGAGACGAGGGATGGGGAGATGAGGGATAGGGAGACGAGGGAAGGGGAGATGAGGGATGGGGAGACGAGGGAAGGGGAGATGAGGGATGGGGAGACGAGAGTGTGGGGTGTGGCGTAGCAGGAGGAAGGAGAGTTGCAAGGCGCGGGGAGTCCCCATTCTCGTTAGAGGGGAGGGAGCGTGGGCGACGGGAGGGAGGGAGCGGTAGTAGTGACGGATGGGTGTGCGCGTACATGACGTAAGGGGAGTGAGCATGAGCGATGGGAGGGGAGTGAGCGTGGGCGACGGGAGGGGAGTGAGCGTGGGCGACGGAAGAGAGTGAGGAGGGGCGAAAGAGGCATCGCGCAAAGGCGACGGGAGGGGAGGGAGCGTGATCGTGCGTCAGGAAGGAAGCGTGGGCGACGGGAGGGAGTGATCATCCTCTTTGGAGGGGAGTGCGCGAAGGCGACGGAAGGGGAGTGCGCGAAGGCGACGGGAGGGGAGTGCGCGAAGGCGATGGGAGGGGAGTGCGCGAAGGCGCCGGGACGGGTGTGCGCGAAGGCGACGGGAAGGAAGTGCGCGAAGGCGACGGGAGGGGAGTGCGCGAGGGCGATGAGAGGGAGTGAGCTATGGCGATGGAGGGAAGTGTGAGACATTGACGCGAGAATGGTCGCGTGGGCGACGGAGGGGAGTCAACATAGGCGACGGCGACGAGTAGCGTGCATTTTCAAACCAATCTACACACATGGCTTCGCTTTCTAACCCCCTCCAAGCACCAAACTCGTGGTGCAGTGTCGCACAGTTGGGTGACGAATGCTGAAGCTCGTCGCTGCCTGGTTTCGCTTTCGCACCTGTTCAGCTCTCGAAATGTTTTTTTTTATGCCTTTCGCGAACTCACTTAAAGCCCCCGTGTCACTGTTGCAAAAACCATGCTGACCTCGGGCTTTAATTCTGGCAGCACACCACAAGTGGTGTGCGGGATTCACCCCTAGTACATCACTTTGACATCCTTGCCAGCAGGCAGCTGCTCATCCTAGTACATCGCCTTAGGGCATGTCACCTCGGGCATTCGAAGGGGCTTGTTCGAACAGGCACCGTACTAAACCAATCTGAGTGTTCTTAAAGCCCGCATGCAAAATAGTGACCCCCCCCCTTCTAGTTGGGTCCACTAGAAAGCTCATGAAAATTTCCAGAAAGTTTGGTGTTTTTTTCTGAACAGGGCAAGTCCCCAAGTAGTAACAAGACCGATTTGAAGTTGTTTCCGAATTCTGATACGATCAGTTGTTTCCGAATTCTGAAATCTAGTAATGCACCCATCACCAGCTTGAAAATGAGGTTGGGCCTGCGATGGGAAACCATCACCTGGGGTTTGTCGTGCGGATGCGGCACGCAAAAATGCGACGGCTGATATGAGAAAGAAAGTTTATTTTGGCGGGAACCATTACGTTCCATTGTGGCGAGAGCCAATAACATGAGTTCACTCTGCCCATACAAATCGTTTGAAACAGTGATTGAGAAAGCTTGCTTTCTGTTTCTTGCAAGGCAACGTGCTTCATTTCAATTGGGTAATTACAACATTCTCGTCCAACTAAAACAATATATAGAGATCATTTAGGGGCGGGTGGGGGGGAAGCGGAACTGTAAAGTTCCGAAATGAAGACGTGGGTGGAGGCCAAATGGCCTCCAACCATCGTTATGTACTCGGAGATATGCATTTGCAGTTGCCTTGCTTCACTACAGTCAGCTGCGCTTTCAAAATAATTATTTTTATAAAGTGTTTCACACTTTCAAAAAATTTCATATTGAGAAATGCATATCTCTTGGCCTATCGGTTGCGCATCGCTTGGCCCGTCGGTTGCTCATCTTTTGGTTCGGCGGTTGCTCATCCCTAGGCCGGTTGATTGCTCATCCCTTGGCCTGTCAGTTGCTTATTGCTTGGCCAGTCGATTGCTCATTGCTTGGAAGGTCGGTTGCTCATCTCTTGGCCCATCGGTTGCTCGTATCTTGGCCCTTTGGTTGCTCATCTCTAACCGATACCGTATTATAACGGCCAGTCAAGAAAAAACAACAAGATTTGCCTTGGCTGCCCTGCCACACCATGTTACGGCAGTCCCGTAGCTCCATTCAACACAAATATTGTTGAAGCGCGAACAATCACCAGTAATGGAATGCAAAGTACATTGAAATTCGGTGGTAAATGTTGATACTTTCCCATACGGTATCCTGTCCATTGTGACGGAACAAGGTAGGAGTCAATAATGGTTGAAATACACTCCCTCCCCTCCTCTCGCATTTGGGTATGTCCAGTATGGGTGGGGGAGTGATACAACCAGATCCAATACCGTACCCGTCCTTGCTACCAGTAGAGTCTTCTACCAATCTTACCACAGTCAGTCAAGTCACTATATGTGGCTCCAACATCCTGTTGAGTCAAGAAAAGTTCCACGTTTTTTTTTTTTTTTTTTTTTTTTTCCACTAAATTCATATCGTAAACAAATAGCCAATGGTACATACATACCAACAAACATATTACATACTTAGGGTTTTCCACATCTCAGCTTTAGTACGCACATCCCCCCTTCCTAAGAAGGTGCCTTCTCTGGCCAGCGTACTTTTGTAGGTACCTACACCCGAATCTTGGACCCCTTTGCCCCATGAGGAACGGCTCTCAGGCCAACCTCGCGACCCTCGGTCCCCTTCCCCCCCCTGGGAGCGGCTCTCAGGCCAACTTGGGGACCCTCGGTCCCCTTCCCCCCCCTGGGAGCGGCTCTCAGGCCAACTTGGGGACCCTCGGTCCCCTTCCCCCCCTGGGGGCAGCTCTCAGGCCAACTCGGGGACCCTCGGTCCCCTTCCCCCCCTGGGGGCGGCTCTCAGGCCAACTCGGGGACCCTCGGTCCCCTTCCCCCCCTGGGGGCAGCTCTCAGGCCAACTCGGGGACCCTCGGTCCCCTTCCCCCCCTGGGGGCGGCTCTCAGGCCAACTCGGGGACCCTCGGTCCCCTTCCCCCCACTGGGGGCGGCTCTCAGGCCAACTCGGGGACCCTCGGTCCCCTTCCCCCCCTGGGGGCAGCTCTCAGGCCAACTCGGGGACCCTCGGTCCCCTTCCCCCCCTGGGGGCGGCTCTCAGGCCAACTCGGGGACCCTCGGTCCCCTTCCCCCCACTGGGGGCGGCTCTCAGGCCAACTCGGGGACCCTCGGTCCCCTTCCCCCCCCTGGGAGCGGCTCTCAGGCCAACTTGGGGACCCTCGGTCCCCTTCCCCCCCTGGGGGCAGCTCTCAGGCCAACTCGGGGACCCTCGGTCCCCTTCCCCCCCTGGGGGCGGCTCTCAGGCCAACTCGGGGACCCTCGGTCCCCTTCCCGCCCTGGGGGCGGCTCTCGGGCCAACTCGGGGACCCTCGGTCCCCTTCCCCCCCTGGGGGCGGCTCTCAGGCCAACTCGGGGACCCTCGGTCCCCTTCCCCCCGGCTCTCAGGCCAACTCGGGGACCCTCGGTCCCCTTCCCCCCCTGGGGGCGGCTCTCAGGCCAACTCGGGGACCCTCGGTCCCCTTCCCCCCCTGGGGGCAGCTCTCAGGCCAACTCGGGGACCCTCGGTCCCCTTCCCCCCCTGGGGGCGGCTCTCAGGCCAACTCGGGGACCCTTGATCCCCTTCCCCCCCTGGGGCCGGCTCTCGGGCCAACTCGGGGACCCTCGGTCCCCTTCCCCCCCTGGGGGCGGCTCTCGGGCCAACTCGGGGACCCTCGGTCCCCTTCCCCCCCTGGGGGCGGCTCTCGGGCCAACTCGGGGACCCTCGGTCCCCTTCCCCCCCTGGGGGCGGCTCTCGGTCCCCTCGTTTCGATGTGCGTGCAGTTGGTCCTGTCGTCGTTGCAATTTTTCCGCGCGACTAGTAGAGTCCAACTTCAATCAGCGGCTTTCCATCTTGTGCCTGCCACGAGGGAGCATCGAGATTGATAGGCAATGAGAGAAGAAATTAGAACTGGAAAGAAGAAAAATAAAATGAAAACAACTTTGCAACAATTTATATGCAGCTAAACAATTTGTGAGGTGGCATGGGGTACTGCACTGTTGGTTGACGCCCAGTCAAACGCCTTAGGTGCGGCAGTGGCAGTTTCTTGACTGCCGCGCCACTGGCCATTTCGTCCGTGGCGATTTCGCCACAGGCGCGCGCCACTGGCGCAAGTGGCGATTTCGCCACACACGCGCGCCAGTGGCGCAAGTGGCGATTTCGCCACACACGCGCGCCACTGGCGCAAGTGACGATTTCGTCAAAATCTTACGCCACTGGCGCACGTGGCAATTTCGTCACTGATGCGCCAGTGGCCGTTGCTTCATGCGCAGCTCATTCTCGGTTGTGCGCACGCCAAGTGCATCGCGGGCGCGATGATGTACCCTCCGCAGTTAACGCGCGTAGCAGCTACTAAGTTATGTTGCTGCTGCAGCACTTGTTCTAGCGTTGTCCCCATACTAAAATAAGTGTGAATTAGGAATTAGTGAGAGTATAAGTGGTTGGACGAGAATGAAGCGGAACTGTAACGTTCCGAAATGAAGACGTGGGTGGAGGCCAAATGGCCTCCAACCATCGTTATGTACTCGGAGATATGCATTTGCAGTTGCCTTGCTTCACTACAGTCAGCTGCGCTTTCAAATTAATTATTTTTAGAAAGTGTTTCACACTTTCAAAAAATTTCATTTTTTTATACTGGTTTCATCCTCACTTGCAACTCCTCATTCAAGTTGGGACGGGGGTCACTATTTTGCATGCGGGCTTTAAAATCAAACTGTACTGAAGCTTACCACCCGAGGTGACACGCCCTTATGCTCAGTCCTGCCTGCGTAATGTAGCTGACCAGTACATGCACATCATTAGCTTCATAGCACAAGAAGTCCCTCCATGGAACCAAAAGCCTAGCACAACTGGCAAGGGGACGTTGCATCCCACATACGGTAAAATCCAGCAGATGCACTTGCAGAACGCTACCTTACACCCCGTAAGAGTAGCACTCAAATGGCCACTGGTTGACATCGAGATAGTACCTATCTTGATTCTTGAACGTGACCTGCTGCACACATGGATGGGCTATTCTTGTCCCTGAGTACAGCACTCTGAACTCCCTGCCAGCACGTAGCTGCACGCCCCAATCAATGGTGTTAATCGCCAGCTCGCAGAAATTTTGACCACGAGCTTTGCAGCAATTGTTAAACAAGAGCTTTCCAGTCTGGAAGTTAGTGTTGCCGGCTGCAAAAATCGTACCCATGTGGCAATTCCAAAATATAAGCCTGCAATTACAGGTGCGTGGACACTCGTGAGTGCATGAAAGAATGATTAAAAGGACAGAGCCAGAACAAGTCGACACGCAACTCGCGACAATACAAGACACCGTTGTTCAAATAGAATAAATACCTGCCGATGACGTCATAGGGGCACAAGTTCTTGATAATTAGCTGGATCACCTTGGTGGTGCCTTTGCCCTGGTCTGACACGACGCGGTTGGTAACAAGGATTGAGTTCTGGTCACATGCTGGGGTGCAGAGAGAGCGGGCAGGTGGGGCGGAGGACAGTGGAGTTCATAAGAATAAACAGAATCGAGTCCTTGCTGCATGCTGAGGTGCAGGCAGGGAAAGTGGAATTGGGAAGAGTAGCTCATGCGAAAGAACAACCAA